CAATCTTGTTATTTCGCTGAGTTTCAGTATATTCTGACATGCCTGAATGACTCATCTGCCAATCATTCTCAGCCACAAACACCACTTTCCCACATCCCTAGGTCTGCAACACACACAGAAGGAGAGGCAGAGACATTGAAAGCCGCATTCTGCAACACCTGTAGTATGACCCTGGCTTCATAGGCACACACATGTTCAAGGTGGATTAAAAATGTCAATGTAGGCTGGAGGCCAAGGTAGGAGGATTGCTAGAGCCCAGGAGTCCAAGACCAGCCTAGGTAACATAACAAGACCTCATCTCTACAAAAAATAAAGAAATTATCTGGACAAGGTGGCACATGCCTGTCGTCCCAGCTACTTGGGAGGCAGAGGCAGGAGAATTGCCTGAGCCTAGGAGGTCGAGGCTGTGGTGAGCCAAGATTGTGCCACAGCACTGCAGCCTGGGCAACAGAGTGAGACTCCAACTCCAAAAAAAAAAAAAAAGTCAATGTTAATGAAAGACCAATGTCCAGGAAAAACACAGGATTCAATGCTTGAGCTTCCCATTGGGTTATTACTCACACTGCTTTGAAAAATGCAAACATGGCTGGACTCGGTGGCTCAGCCTGTAATCCCAGCACTTTGGGAGGCCAAGGTGAGTGGACTGCCTGAGCCCACAGGTTCAAGACCAGCCCAAGCAACTTGGCAAGACCTTGTCTCTACAATAAAAAAAAAAAAATTAGCCAGGCGTGGTAGCACATGCTTGTAGTTCTGGCTACTTGGAAGGCTGAGGTGGAAGGATCGACAGAGCCCAGCAGGTTAATGCTGGGGTGGCCTTGAGTGTGCCATGGCACTCCAGCCGGGGCAACAGAGTGAAACTCCAACTCAAAAAAAAAAAAGAAAAGAAAAGAAAAATGCAAACACAAGCCTGAGCAGCACAGTAAGACCCCATTCTCTCCAAAAATAAAGAAATTAGCCAGGTATGGTAGTGCATACCTGTGGTCCCAGCTACTCAGAAGGCTGAGGCAGGAGAATCACTTGACCCCAGAGTTGAAGGCTACAGTGAGCTATGATGGCACCACCACATGCTAGCCTGGGCAACAGAGCAAGACCGTATCAGAAAGAAAAGAAAGAAAGGAAGGAGAAAGCGAGGGGGAGAGAGAGGAGAGGAGAGGGAGGAAGGAAGGAAGGAAGAAAGAAAAATGCAAACACTGCTTTTATACAAGTTTTTAATAAAAAAAACTCTATCACAGAATTTAAAATAACATTCAAAAACCCTCAAATAAAACGGACCTCTTCTATTGATGAATGTCATTCAAAAATGGCAGCCATTTGATTTTCACTATATTCAGACTTCAATCTTGTGCTTGGCAGGCTACCCAAAACCAAGAGCACTATCTACTCACAGTCCAAATGATTATGCTAAACCCTAGGCCAGGTGAAAAGGAACTGCTCTCCTCCACACACAGGCACCGCCCCCAGGTGCAACGTCCCTGCCCGGCTCCTCAGACTGCAGACTCACAGACCTTCCTGAAATGGCTCCCACTGGGTCTAATGGATATGCCTGTTTCTCATCCAGCACAGCACCTCCCCGGCAGCAACGATGCATCAAAGGCTTTAGGGTATGGCTGTAAATCTGGGAAGCCAATAACACCTCATTGAAAACAACATTTGAGTTTGAAACAACAGCTTACCCCTTTCCCGCATTGTTCTTTAAGAAAACCTGAGTCTTCCTCTGGTTAATTCAAGGGTTGATCTTTTTGTTTGGTTTGGTTTCTACACTGCACTTTGTTGCTTGGAACTACAGATCTTCTTGCAGATGGTGATCTGCTTCTTTGGAGCATTAAGCAGCAGTCAAATGGTCTGAGGGTCATGGGGCATCCCAGCAGGCCTACTTCAAAGCAGGGCACCCACTTGGCACTGGAATAATTCGGTTTAGTAACCAATTCCTTAAAACTTTTGTCTTAGGTAAGAGAGGGGAGTATGAAGTGTGGACTGTTCCATTTGGATCACAGTTTGATGCCTGGCGCCCCTGCCCACTGGCTGTGCAACCCTAAGAAAGTTACTCAGGTCGGGCTCAGTGGCTCAGTCTGTAATCCAAACACTTTGGGAGGCCGAGGCAAGTGGACTGTCTGAGCCCGAGGGTTTAAGACCAGCCCTGGCAACTTGGTGAGACCTTGTCTCTACAATAAATCAAAACTTAACCAGGCATGGTAGCACATGTCTGCAATTCTAGCTACTTAGAAAGCTGAGGTGGAAGGATTGCCAGAGCCCAGCAGGTTGAGGCTGCAGTGGCCGAGAGGTGTGCCACTGCCCTCCAGCCTGGGTGACAGAATGAGACTCCAACTCAAGAAAAAAAAGTTACTCAACAATCTGAGCCTCATTTTCTTCATTTGGACAGCAGCATAACACCACTCACCTCCCAGTTACCAGAGGAACAAGTGACAGTGTCAAGTACAAGTGTTCAGAAACCCGCTTGACAGAACCCAGTCAAAGGTAATCATTATCATCTGGGGAGGGGGATGACACATGAGATCCCAGTACCTGACTAACATGAGGGTATGTCAGCAAAGAAACAGATCCAAGACATAAATTACTGAGATAACTTCTACAGGGCATGAGCCCCCAACTCGCCTTCAGCTGTGGTCCAGGCAGTGTGTACACACTGGGTGAGAAAGCCCTCAGGAAATAGCCTCCTTTGAACCCTGCTGTCTGGCTAACATGGGGGACCCAAGTTGCTGATGCTGCAGACACACAAAGCATCCCTGCTCCCAGGATGGACCTAAAATCACTAAAATCACCAAAGCACTACAGTACCATGTCCCCCATAAAATTCAAACCCTATTATTTTGCCACGTCATTTTTATACAAGCCAAATTTTCCATTAAGCTTTTATCTAGCCGGGCTCGGTGGCTCAGCCTGTAATTCCATGCCTTGGAGGCTGAGGTGAGTGGATTGCCTGAGTTCGCGGGTTCAAGACCCGCCTGGGCAGCGAGACCTCATCTCTACAATAAATCAAAAAATTAGCTGGGTGTGGTAGCGCACGCCTGTAGTTCCAGCTACTTGGAAGGCTGAGGCGGAAGGATTGCCGGAGCCCAGCAGGTTGAGGCTGTGGTGGCTGCGAGCGGCCACTGCACTCTAGTCTGGGCAACAGAGTGAGACTCCAACTCAAAAAAAAAAAAGCTTTTATCTAGCAGATAAAGTGGTACTGGAGAAAGAAAAAAAAAAAACTAAGAAGAATATCCACAACCCTGGTAAAGAATTCATCCCTAAGGGCCTATTCCATATCCTCTGTACATTTTTACAGTCTCACAAAACCTAAAATATTCACCAGCAGATACATTATTGTTGCCAGAATCTGTGCTGAAGTATTGCACCATTTCAAAACTGAACCTGTACATTTTAGCTTTTTTTTTTTTTGAGTTGGAGTCTCATTCTGTCATCTAGACTGGAGTGCAGTGGAACTCTCATGACCACCCCAGCACTGACCTGCTGGACTCCAGCGATCCTTTCACCTCAGCTTTCCAAGTAGCTGGAACTACAGGCGCGCGCTACCACGCCCGGCTAGTTTTTGATTGATTGTAGAGAAGAGGTCTCACCAAGTTGCCCAGGCGGGCCTCGAACCCACGGGTTCAGGCAATCCACTCACCTCAGCCTCCCAAAGCACAGGATTATAGGCTGAGCCACCCAGCCCGGCAAATTTTTTCTTTTTTAAATATAGAGACAAGGTCTTGCCAATCTGCCTGGGCTGGTCTCGAACCCAGAGGCTCAGAAAATCCACTCGCCTCGGCCTCCCAAAGTGCTGGGATTACAGGCTGAGCCACGGAGCATGGCCCCATTTTGGCTTTTAAGCAAACAACTGGAAATGGAACCTGCTGGCTATGCAACCCTGAATATACACAAATTACAACCTTCACTGGGAAAACAAAACAAATCAGAAAATTAACTTTGTATTCTTCCAGAGCTCCCATGGCATATTGTATCCTAATAATTTATTGTTTCAACAATTCCTCTGAAACATTACTTAACCCACAGATCTGAGTCCTTCTTGGTGAAGTTTGGTCTCATAAACAAAGTCATCTGCCTGCCAGCCAATCACACCCTTGGATAGGTGGGCAGGGCACTGGGGGACCTGTATTGTTCCCCCACCCCCACCAAATCCTTGTCTCCTCTGTGGCTCTTAATCCCACACCCTCTATTTGTCCCCTCTCCCCCAGCACCACAGGCCAGCCCTGGCATCCAGGGGTCAGCAGCTTGGAGGACCCGTTCTTTGCTGTCAAGCACTTGGTGGCTGAGCTGAGACTTCTCCCTCCTGTTCATCTCCATCCCCGGAGCAGGTGAACAAGCTTCTCACACTGGCTCCACCACTAACCTGGGCAGGACTCTTAAATAACACCCAAATCATAATCTCATCTCCAGAAGCAGAAGCCAAGATCAAACAAGGCTAGGCTTTTCAAAGAGCTCGCACAAAGACGGGCACACATAAGCCCATAACTGTTATTATCTGGAAGAGACAGAACAGCAAGACCAAGGGAATACCAGTCATATTACAGGGTGACTCAGGAACCCATCCAGCAATCTCCAACGATCCCACCCCAGAACTAATTGGCACATGGAGTGGGCAGTGACCTTTGATCTTTCCAGAGAGCTGTGTGGTTGGCTGGCTAAAGACATCCCCAAGCAAACCTTACAACCCAGATAACCCCGAGGCCAGGTTTTAATAGCACTACTCAGAAGCTACCAGCCCGCAGAGGAAAGAGCCAAGCCCCAGTCTTGAACTTGAAACAGCCCAGGCCTGCTCCCAGCAAAAATGCTGAGAGGAGCAGAGTGGTGCTTCTCCCACTCCTCGACCTAGGTAAGGCACACAACCCCAGCATCCAACTGGAGGCAACAAATCCACAAGAGTTGCCCAGGCCCTGCCCGAATGTGCCCTGGCATGCCACACAGGGTCCTTGGCGGGTCCCTGAGGCTCTCCAGGTGGCCCATCCAGAGTCGCTCCTCCCACCTCCACGGCCACTCACCAGACACAGACACCTCCATGAGCGCCTCCAGAGGCCGGTTGTTGTCCAAGTCTCGGCTGAGCTGTAGCTCGCCTGTGGCCGGGTCCAGCAGCAGCAGGCGCAACTCATTGCCCTGCAGAAAGGTGTAGTTGAGGCTGTCGGACAGGTCGGGGTCGTGGGCCGGGATGCGACCGATTACGCCGGTGGGGAAGCTGTTGGACTTATTGGTGACATAGTTGTTAAAGAGGATCTGAAAGTCGGGCAGCACCGGGGGGTTGTCATTCTGGTCCAGAAGGCGGATGTGCACCGTGGCCCGGCTCACCAGTGGAGCCGACGTGGCCTGCACCACCAGCACGTATTCCCGCTGGACCTCAAAGTCCAGCTCGACCAGGGCACGCAGGTCCCCACTCAACAAGTCCAGCTGGAAGACCTCTGGCACGTTGCCCTCCACAATCTGATACATGATCTGGGCATTGGGGCCTTCGTCAGGGTCATTGGCACGAATCCTCGCCACCACCGACCCCACAGGGCTGTTCTCCTCCACAAACAGCTCCAGCTCATCCCTCTCAAACACAGGGGGGTTGTCATTAATGTCCAAGATGGTCACCTGGATTTCCACCGAGGCACTAAGGGGAGCCGGGCTGCCCCGGTCCACAGCTAGAGCCCGAAGGTTGTAAACAGCCACATTCTCCCGGTCCAACCGGTGTTGGGTGCGTATCACTCCAGACGTGGACTCGATGTAGAAGTCCCCATCACCATCATCCCCACCCTGGAAGGTATACAGCAGACGGCCATTGGGGCCCGAGTCCCGGTCCGTGGCAGAGACCTGGAGGACGCTAGTTGACCGTGGAGCATCCTCAAAGACGGAGCCCTGGTAGAAATCCCGCAGAAACCGGGGGGCATTGTCATTGGCATCAAGGATGAGAATCTCCAGGGAGGTGGTGTCTGACTTCTGAGGAATGCCATTGTCCTGAGCTGTAACGGCCAATGTGTAGGCAGCTTGGTCCTCATAGTCCAGCTCTGTCGTGGTGTAGATGGTGCCTGTGTCCGGGTCAATGCGGAACTGTGGCACGGGGTCCTCCAGGACGTAGGTGATGCGGGCATTCTCTCCCGTGTCCTCATCGGTGGCGCCGATGGTGGCGATGGAGGTGCCCACAGGCCGGTCCTCGCTGACGCTCACCGTGTAGTGGGAGCTCTGGAAGACTGGCCGGTGGGTGTTGGCGTCGGTGACATTGATGAAGACCTGCGCGGTGTGTGAACGAGTGCCATCGGATGCGGTCACCGCCAGCACGTACTGCCGCTCCTGCTTGTAGTCCAGTGGCAGCGCCAGAGTGATGAGGCCACCCCCGCTCTGGCTGCTGAGTGCAAAACGGTTCCGGGTGTTACCGCCCGTGAGCTGGTAGGTGATCACGCTGTTGGCGTCACGGTCCCGGGCCTGCAGGGTCAGCACGCTGCTCCCCACAGCCGCATCCTCGTTCAGCCGAAGCTCATAGGTAGGCTGCGTGAACAATGGGTCGTTGTCATTGACGTCCAGCACCGTGATGGACACGCTGGCTGAGGAGCTCATGGGTGGCGAGCCGTGGTCTACTGCCTCTACCCCGAAGCTGTAGTGCTCCACCTCCTCACGGTCCAGCTCCGCACATACTGTGATCCAGCCTGAGCTGTTGTGGATCTGGAAGGGGAAGTCCGGGATAGAGGCCGGGTCCTCAGGCCCAGCACCAATGCCCCCCAAAGCAGCTGAGGCCGTGTCCACCAGGCGGTAGCGAAGACGAGCGTTCTCCCCTGCATCTGCGTCCACTGCCTGAATGTGCAGCACCGAGTGGCCCAGAGGCACATTCTCCAGCACAGCAGCCTGGAAGGGGCTGCTCACAAAGATGGGCGCATTGTCGTTCACATCCAGCACCTGCACAGAGACCAGCCCAGAGGAATTGATGAGTGGGGGCCGGCCCCCGTCCTGCGCCTTGATGCGAAGTGTGTACTCGCGAATGGCCTCGAAGTCCAGCGGGTTGATCACATCCAGGCTCCCGCTCAGCGAATGCAGGTAGAACTGTCCCTTCAGGTTCCCACTGACGATGCTGTAGTGAATGGCCGCGTTCTGGCCCTGGTCCCGGTCCGTGGCCTGCACGCGCAGCACGGCTGTGTTGACCGCCACATCCTCGGGCACCTGGACCACATAGCGCTTCTCACTGAACTGGGGGTAGTTGTCGTTCTCGTCCTCCACCACGATGTGCACGGTGGCCGTGGCGCTGAGCGGGCCCGGGTTGCGGCCCTGGTCGTTGGCCTCCACAAGCAGCTGGTACTCGGACGCCTCCTCGCGATCCACCACCGCCCTCATGCGCACCACGCCCGAGCGCGCGTCGATCTCGAAGACACCGCCTGCCCCCTCCAGCAGGCGGTAGCGCATGTTGGCATTAGAGGGCGCGTCGCCGTCGGTGGCGCGGATGGTCAGCACCTCGTAGCCCACCTCGAGATTCTCACGCACGCGCTTGCGGTACTCGGACTGCTCAAAGACCGGGCTGTGGTCGTTGGTGTCGCTGACCGTGACGGTGAGGTAGGTGGCGGCCGAGCGCCGCGGCGAGCCGTGGTCCACAGCGCTGACCTTGAGGACGTGCGTGTCCTTGGTCTCGCGGTCCAGCGCGCGGGCCGTGCTCACGGCGCCCGTGCTGGAGTCGATAAGGAAGTAGCCGTTGGAGCGCTCATCGAACAGCGCCTCCATCTGGTAGCTCAGGTGCCCGGCCTCGCCCTCGTCGGGGTCGTGCGCGCGCAGTTCGATGACGGCAGTGCCCGCCGGCTCGTTCTCCGGCACCGACACCTGGTAGCTGGGCAATGGGAACTGCGGGCTCGTGCTGCCGCCCGCGGCCCGCCGGGCCCGTCGCGCTGCCCCCGCCCCAGCTCCGGGCGAGCTCGGTGACGATGGCGACAGCGACGCAGAGG